CAAAATCCTAAGCTCATTCGACCCTGGGATGAACTCTTCGTAGGGTAAGTCTCCAAAGGGAAGGCCAGAAATATCATACATTTCATGAAGAGCAAACCCTAATTCCCCTATTGGAGTAAAGAATGTACATGTCTCTGGGTTGTACCTCTCCAGAATAGTAAAAAAATTGTAGTGGTTATAATTAATACCACATCTGGTAGCCATTACAGGGCAGCCGAGTCTAGAGCGAGCTAACGACCCTTCTAATTCATTCAGCACAAACTCTGTCATCCTTGTCCACCACCCTACCCTGGTGGAATGTACCCATCCGGGAGTTCTAAATACTAAAGATGGGAAGTCCCCTTTCACAGCCAAAAATCTCCGCATGAAAGTGTTGGCTGGACTAGCCGTTTATCCTACAGGATATCCCCTGGAGAATAAACATGATTCTAAGACTGACACCTGTCGATTGTAACCTACGGTGTGTACGCCTGTATAAGTTAAAGCTCTAACGGCTACCCCATCCTGCTCTCTAACAAGATCCTAATTCATATGTCGAGGGACAGAGACACATTGATAATAGGAGATAGGGAACATCCTAGGCATCTCGGGAAGAAAGAAGCGGCGACCTCCTATTTGCCTCAACCACTTGTAATGGCCACCATGTACGATTTCTTTCTGGATGGTAACATGATCTTCAAACAGAAATGCTGGCTTGGTAAGCTTCTTACAGGACTCGGTTTTGAACTTGACATCTGTAACCAAAATCCTTAGTGTAGTCGGGCTAGCCTGGGTAATTAGAGTGACACGTTCTTTGTCGGTATCCTAAAAAATCGGGAGTTCTTGACGTAGACTAAATTACATGTTTGAATCCACGCCACCCTCACACCCAAAGTGATGACGAAGAGTGAGAGGCTCATGGATGTAAGGCACTACAAAAAAGAAAGACACTCAATCAGTTAGCACGAAAACGAAATGAAGAGACCTTATTTAATTACAGAGGTTGAACTTCTTGAAAAAGAGGACACACACAGAGTTCAAAATCTGCATCAAATATCTTAACACAGAAGTCCGATCCTACGTTCAACATCCAAACGCACGGTTCAGACCCTGTGTCAAATATTATTAACGTAGAAATCAAACTCTGCGTTTAACATCCAAACGCACGGTTCAGATCATGCGTCAAATATTATTAACGAAGAAATCAAACTTTGCGTTAAACATTCAAACGCACAGTTCAGACTCTGCATTAAATTTTTTTTTAACACAGAGGTCAAACTTTGCGTCAGGCGCCCAAACGCACGGTTCAGATCTTGCGTTAAACACTCAAACACAGAGTCTAAGCCCCGCGTTACAAAATTCGAGCGCAGAAATCAAACCCCAATGCTTCAAATTCTAAACACAGATGCCCAACTCTGCGTCACAACCTCAAAACGAGTTTCCTCGTTGATCAGAACTTGTCGAAGTAAGTTTTATGGTCACAAAAATCGATACTCACCATCGACGAGAAGAACTGGCAGCGGCCGAGACTGCAACACTGTCGGTGACCGAAGCTGGCAACGAACTCTGAGCAGCGGCGACGGTGGGTCTGGGACGAGAAACAATCTTCTTCTTGAGCGCCATTAAAAATGATGGTTGGAGAAGATGAACAGGATTCGCCGGAGTTTAAAACGAAGAATTTTCGTTAAACCTTTCAGAGAAGAACAGAGGAAAGAGTCGAATGACTCTTGATTTGACCC